AAAAGTTGGTGGGATGGTTGAAGATGGTTAACCCGTGCATTGCACCGACAGAATACTAGTTGTAAGTATAAAAGAAAAATAAAAGGTTTCTTTTCCTTGACAAGCCTTACCTTCTCCGGTCGCCGTTATCCATAAAAAAATCAAAGAAGATGGATGAAATTTTCCAGAACATCCTATATAAGAAGACTAAAAGGTAAAAACTGCTTTAAAGGTGACTAGTATAGCTCTGTGAATTCTTTTGTGAGAAATTTGTGAAGCTTTTACATGCCCTAAAATCACTGTCTTTTTGTCTGCAGTTTGCTATAGTGCTTTGGGTCTGCAAAAGTTTACGATGATCAAGAGTTTCTTAATTGCTAAAATTGAAAATCTGGTTGCCTATTACGCAACAATAAGGGAGCAGACACAATACAATTTCGTTAGGTGCACATACTTATGTGTGCAATTACGAATAATTATTGTATAAGTTAATAGTATTGAGGTGATTTTGTTCCATCTAATCCATATTTTGTTTTTAAAAAAAAAAACATTCTATACGTTGTATCATATGATATGCATTTGGTAATGGACAAGTAGTGTCTGAAGATTGAATTGATCAATGATTTATTAATTGTTTTTATTATTTTGGTTTAGTCTTATTATAGATCTATAGTCTACAACAACTTCATATTAATATTAAATATGCAAATTTGCATAAATATGCAAATTTGCACATTTAAAGTGATCATGTATCTATCGTGACTCTTAATGTGTCCTATAATGAACGATGTTGGCTATGGAGTGTAGCATTCCTTCAAAGACTCCAGAGAGAAGAATGTAAAGACATTTTCCTTAATATACCCTTAAGTTTAATTTCAGTCGAAATGCAAAGACAAATTATACATGGCTCCCTAATAAATAAAAAAATAGATAATTGATCTCAAGGTTGTAGCATACCTTCAGAAAATAATTGTTAAAAAGCATCCCCTTTTTTCACGGGAGAAAACAAAAATTGCATTTCATGGAAGAAGAGGCACTGAGATTGATAGTGAGAAATTGAAGCAATTATGGGCTACATATTTTGAGATTTCTTTTCTAAATATCCTTTCGAACGATTCTTAATTAGAGATGCATGCGACTATATGCTCGATGAGATGGACCGGGCTTTTGCATGGTGCATTATGTGTATATTGTATTAAGAGGACCCTCCAGTCCAATGCGATAAGGCAAAACGTGAGGCCATATTCTTAATTTTGTTATGAATTTTAATTGTTACAAGTACATTTGGAGTAATTCTAAACAAGCACAAGTTGTACTATACCCTCACTCCCTGTCCACGCGCCACCGCTGTCACCGACACAGCCGCCGACAATATCCAAATGTTCATGGACCCCACTAGACTGGCTTGTCGCTCTAGTGATGACGTGGCTAGGGTCCGCTTTTGGGAACGTCATTGTAATATATGCGGGATTCAATTTCACTAATTGGTTCTCTCCCAAGGTGGGGACTAATGTTGATCGCACTTAGGACGAGAAGATGCACGTCTTGTGAGTTGAAGCCAAGGGAGCCTTGGATGACTTTGTTTAATTAGAGGTTGGTTTAATTAGCTAACTAGGGTTACTGCAGTGTGTGTTTTTTATTAATTAATCAGTTGGTGTTTGTAATTTGTGTGATTCTTATAGTTTTCCTTGTTTACTGCTCTATACTAAAAAAATTCAATTTGTCAATGTGGGTATGATAAATACAACTATATTTGACTATCATGATTTGCAAAAAAAACTCATGATAACTTTCACATTCTTCAGATCATCTGAATCGTGTTTGCATAAAAAAAAATTCAAAAACACAACTATACTCAATTTTATCATGATTTGCTAAAAAAGAAGAGTTCCACTCACATTTAATCCGTTGATACACACCGTTATAAATAGCGGTAAATAACGGCGCTAATAACGTTAACGGTCCCTTCCCGCGACGCTATCGCCAGCTACGCTATTGCGCAATAGCGGTGACATATTACGGAATATGTTTGTTCGCAAAAACGGTCAATAGTGTCATAACGGTAAATAGTGAGCGATTGCATTCGAAATTTGTTTTTTGACTGCTATTTAAAAGCGGTTTGAGACTTATTTTTTTAAAATTAAATTCAACCCTTGACCATTACATTTCACCGTCTCCTGTGATTTTCAGCATACTCCCGTCACCTCTCATAGCCTCTAGCACCTACCTTGATACTTCCTATCACCTTCTTCACTGTGAGCTCGGGCAGTCCTGTCACCGCTAAGTTCTTCTCGAAGACAACAACTTTTTGACTCCTCTAGTCATCTTCGGTATTACGTGATGGTTACATGTCTATTTCATGTTTAGGGTCTCTTTAAATCATCCCATATGTATTTTTAGATTTCTTAGTTTTTTCTTTTTTTAGTATTTATACATATCTAAATTAGACCGTTATTTGACTTTACGTTTTTTTACCGCTATTTTGTCACAATAGCCCGAAATAGCCTTAGCGATGCCTCACCGCTACGCGACGCTATCCGCTATCGATAACCTTGTCAATACATTTAATTCGCCGATGGTGGGTTAGTTTGGGTTAGCTTAGGGCAAAATACAATAGAAAGA